AAATCATCTGTATCTGAGAGCACCAGAGTAAATAATTTAACTCCGGGAATCAAACCCGGGACCTCCACATCTAGCGCTGTTATTGCTAACCTTTGAGCCACCAATGTCGTCTCTAATGACGTACACGACATTAATAGTACATTGCGTATTAAGGGCGATAAATAAGAAATTACTAAGGAGAGTCTATTAGAAGCCCGAAGACGGAAGCTGAGGTCGAGTGTGGAGTTTTTTTTACCCTTTTTTATGGCTGCCATAAAAAGCATTTTATCCTTAAAAATGGCTGCTGACAAAATTTGCTCTTCAAAATGTCATTATGCCTTCTTAATACAACTTTTGAAAGTAATTGAAGGTTTTATAAAGAAAATAGTAGTTACCTTTTAAGCATTTTGCACTAATTAAGCAATTTACACACCATTACTGTCCACTGCAAAACTGGTATACTAACTCTTTCTCTAGGAGTTTTACCTATCTTAAGATCATGTTTATCATGACAGATCGGTATACTCAGAGTGACGGCGCCTTTATCATCCTTTAATCTTGGTACCACGTCAATCACGTGGACAAGTCACTATCTCACAGTTTAGATAATAAAAGATCTCACGTTGGCGTGGAAATCTTTCTCAGACGAAGTCTTGGTGGAAAAACTTCTTCTGGACGTTCCACATATATATAGGTTATGAGAGACGCCTAATTATTCGGAAACCCATTGACATAGAATTTTGTAAGTAATTTCTATTTTATTGATTGTATGAAACTTGTTATGGAAACATAAAGGCCACAAATATAGTGATAGAGACATCATGTGTGTGTTAATGTACAATAACAATTTTCAAATTGTACCATCTTATCCAAACAATGTAATATTTAATTCTTAAATCTTCTGCCTCCGCGGCCGAACGGTTACCATACTGGACTGCTACGCAGAGATCCCGGGTTCTATTCCCGGGCCGAGACTAATATTTGTATAGCCTATATTTATATCTCTCGTGAGTTTGGGTGTAATTTGTGGTTGTCTATGTGTGTGTCCAAGGCACCCGCGACACAGGGTTTCCCTAATGCGGGGCTATGAATGTGTGCGCGTTATTATGTTATTATTATTATTAATACATTGGTCGAGTTCCACAAGAACGTTGTTTACTGGATTGGAGCTGGATTGAATGGATCTCGGTTTTAACATAAAAAAATCGAATATCGGTAAAAGAGGGTACTCATTTACAAAAAGTATTTAGCGAGAACAACGTCACGGGCGCAGTCTAGTTCTATGATAAACATATCTGTGGCGTGGAGATAATTTCGGTCAACCACAGGCCGAAACCGTGAACGATCGAGAGCAATGTTTCTTTCTGATGTTCTACTTATAACAGCGGTGTTATTCTTCTTTACCAACATCAATTTTATAACAACATGGATATTTTTAGAATATATAATCTGCTCATATTAATACAAAGAAATTTGTGTTTGACACCTACGTACAGTGTGCGAAGTGGAACAGCAACAAAAGCACAAATAATAAGAACTTGTATAAATTTGACGAATATGTGATAAATATCATAAGATTTTCATAGAAATGATCGGCATTAGCAATATACAGTATATTTAAAAGTGTATCAGTAAATACAGTGTGATTATGAGTGCCTAGCTGATTTAAACAATGTTTTTAAGATGTCGGTTGTATTTCGTACATACCTATAATCTTTGTTTTCTTCGACTCCAGCTACAAGTAATTGCTTTTAAAGTGTTAGTTTTGTGTATATACTATAAACAATTTAAAAGCGGAAGAAAAACAGAAGTGAAACAGTTCGTCCAATGAAGTACTGCCACCTTACGTATTTCTGCCGCCCAGCTTACATAATGTAAGCATTACTGCGTTCTGGTTTTGAATGGCAAGGGATTTTGCGGTTTAAAGCTCGGAGTAGCACCGCACTTGTTATGGACTGGTGTCTCGCTTGCCACTAGGCGCGCGACTCGGTCGCCTCATCGCTTTGTATTATAAAAAGAAAAAACAATATTTGGAGCTTTTTCCTACATGATACATTTTAGTGATAAGGTGAGAGGTATTTCTCTTTTATAATAAGTAAACATAACTTAATTACATGTGATGTACAGTGTGGTACAGTCACACAAACTTTAGAAACTTATAACGACTCAGCCGGTATCGAAGCCAGACTATTGAACCACGGAACTGAAAAACTGAAGCGATTAAAAAGTTTACAAAATCAAAATAACTTTTAATAATAAACATGAATTTAAGTGTGGTAGGAATTTATTTTTCTGCTCCGAATTTAGTGCAATTTCTATTAGTAGATGGATGGCACTTTATAGAGAGAATGTGGATGGACGCTGTATCAGAATGTTCTTAAAAAAGGTCAGGTTAAAAGTATCAAACAAACTTGTATGAAGAGACTGATGGAAGTGGAGGAGGCGAACGAGTTTTATCAGGAGCAGTAGCAGGAGAGGTCTATGGTCTATTGCTTACTCCGGTGGGTGACAGGCGTGATGATATGTGTGTATGTTCTATTTATACTTTGGCAATAGTTGTTCATATGTCTGGTTATGAAAACCAAAGATGTATCTTGTTATTCTGAATAAATATTTTGTATATATTATAATAATACTATAATTACAAGAGCCTGTGTGATAACTCGCGTGAGTAATAAGTAAAACAAAATTTTAATTGATCCAGACAGTGCAAAAGGCAGAGACTTGAGAGATGAAAAGGTGGGACGCCTACGAAGGAGGTCAGTATCGTCCCAACCACATGCTTCTTAGCTTCCAATAGAACCCCGTGGTTACCGTTATTATTTGAGTAAAATACTCCAGTAAATGACACTATTAAGAAAATATTGATAACACCCATTTGAACTGGGGTTTTGGGCATTAGCAACTTGGACTAAAGGCTCCATATAAATTCGACTGCTCGAGATGTGATACTTTAAGAACATGCAAATTTTCTCATAAAACAAAACAGTACAATGTTTGATTAAAGACTGAAAAATTCACTGTAATAATCTCAGTACAGAGTACTAACAAAATCGACCTCAAAAGTACGTGGAATTACATCTATTTGCCAAGTTTTATTGAAATCGGTTACCGGAATGTGCGCAAACCCGGATTCATCCCGTAGTTCGCCACTATACGGAACTTGCACAGGAGATAATATCGGATAAAAATCGGTTCTCACTACTCAAAGTATATTGAGAGAGAAAAACGCCGTGAATTGGAGAATAGCACAATCAACCATTAAAATAATTGATCCTTACAATAAAAATTTAATAGTAATAATAGGCGCTATTTATAAAAATGAATCTTCATGCGTGAACAGCCACCCTTAGAGGTGGATGATTTTCTTCAAAATTAAATGGGACCACTATGGAGGTACCTTCTTTCCAACAAAAGAAGAATCATCAAAATCGGTTCGCAAATACCGGAGTTATCGCGTAACATACATACAAAAAATATTCAGTCGAATTGAGAACCTCCTCCTTTTTTGAAGTCGGTTAAAAACGTTACGCAATCTCTGATAAACTCTTGCTTATATTTATAGAACAATTGATATGACGGCCGTAAAAATACTAACATAATTTACTTCATTTACAAGAAATTCCTGGCATTGTGTCGTTACAGCCAAGCAATTATGACCTGTTCTTTAAAATTTTTTGTTTGTATTTTCCTCTTGCGTAGCCTTCAATAGATTGTTATTTAAATGTGTAGCATCCGCTTTTAGTTATTAAACTGTACATGGTACAGGTGCTGGCATTACACCTTGTTGTTTAATTGCGGAGCGTTTAAATATAGGCCAGGGGGCGGCAATGCAAAAACGCTAATATGAAACCTGTTGAACTGTAACGTCAATAATCTACTGTATAGTGTAACAATTCCGAACGTCCCAGAAAGTCCCAAGACGTTCTAGATTCATTTCATCATTTCATCATTTTTTTTTCCAAGGATTGATTATGGAGAGTGTGTATATACGATTCACGTCTATGGAGAGTTTTGTGAACCATACGACATGCTAATATTGTGTAGTTAAAAATAGGTAAAAATGATAAATGAAATTGGCAATTTTATTTGCATTTCAAAAATGTATGCAAGTGCAAGCCCCATGCTGGCAAGGGAACCTGAATCCTTGAGTTTATTCGTGCGTGATTCCTCTAGGCAATAATTAGTGTTTAAGTGAATTGTTTTGATGATTACTTTTAATGAGTCTCGTCAATTTAGTTTACTGTGCGATACATTTCTTGTACGTACGTACATACTCGGCATTAAAATGCAACTTTGGCCGAATCTAACTTATACAGAATAATAATAATTATAAACTCACGTTAAAGTATACTTGTGTATTCTTAGTGTGTATGAAAGATTGTTAAAATTGCTGTAATTTGTATGTAAAAGTTTTAGCCTTAAAATGAACATATTAATTGAATTAGAAATTAAGTTACATAAAATGAAGCATTCGTTTACGTTATCACAAGAATATCGTTGCAATAATTTAAATTTCATTTGAAAATGCATTACTACGTGGTCGTGCACATGTTAGTCGCACATAGTATGTAAGTCAAATGAGTAGTTAGTAGCAGATAACAGTCATTCATGTTGTTTTGTTCCAATGGCATGGTAATAATGAACTGAGCTAAGCGTTCTTTACGTCACACCTTCACCATGTCGACAATCCAACTATTCATACACCTGTCGGCTTGTTTATTATATAGTTTCTTTTACTTTAATGTAATTTATGGAGGCAATTATTGTAGTTGCCTATTGTTTTAGACTTGTTTTTTAAAGCGATCCCTACGAAAACATTTCTTTCTACAATTTTCTTATGCTACTTGTAACCACGTAAAACATAAGAAAAGAGAAAATAAGCCAAGTGTATCATTTGGTGATTGTATCTTTAGCCACCTTGTCTCTCTCTGACAAAAACTTTATTTTGTCACATCACGTAACAGCATCAACAAAACAAACTATTCTCTACGCAAAGAAAATAAATACGAAACACTCACCTGAATCTAAGACGTAGAAGTTACCAATGTTTAATCTGTATCACAGACGAAAATTACTCTCACAGCTTGTCCATGGCAGTAGTAAACTATATTATGTTTTATTACACTCAGTTTTCTCGAGAGGAAAACTTTAGAATAGTAGTACGGAGCGAAGGAGAACGCACACACTAGGCCACAACACACGACTAACGCCTCACGGAGTCGAAGTGCAACTGGCAAGAGTTAGTACTGCCCACCACAGCCGCCACTGGGTATCCGCTCGTGCCACTCGACGCGATCGAGTCTATAAGAGATGTATTTAATAAAACTAAAAACTCCTTTTAACTGGCATGGATTTATAATTCACATGTTGACAAAAGGTTTGACAAACAAGTTATATAAACTGTCTTTTCTTCGCTTTATTCGTTCAAGTCTGAAGGTTCAAGTAAAAGGCAATAATAATAATAATAATAATAAATAATAAATAATAAGAAAATAATAGAGTTTTGTTAATTGTAATATTTTCTAGGTTGCGATCATAATTTGTGTGTCTAGACAAAATTGTTAGATGATGGATAAAAAGTCAACGAAAAGTACATCACACGACAAAATAACGGTTAGTAATAATGTATCAGAGAATAACATAAGTAAATCAAGCAAAGATCGAACTGACAGGTTATGGACTACAATTGCAACTTCTATCAAAACTGTAAAAGAATCGACATTGATTTTAAGCAAGCCAAAAGAGGTTCCTAAAAAGTCCAGACTGCGAGAAAAAGGCGACTGTGATGATTCGAAGAGTTCATCACACACGAAATATTATAAGCAGAATCAATATTTACCTGAGGTGTACAAGAAGATTACATTAGATCAGTACATGGGAGTAACGTCTTCCACTTCGGGGACATCCGACACGTTCCACTGCAAACACCCTGAAGGAAGAACTTTTAGTGAAACAACACTTTTGAAAAGAAATCTTGAAAAAGTAATAGATCCAATCCCGATAAGTGAGTATTGTTGTCACTCATTATAAGCTCATTCAAGTTTCTATTTAACGGAATTTAATTGGCACCATATTTAATTTGCATTGAGAAAGTGCGCTACAAATTATAATGCTCCTTGTAGTACAATTGAAAATGTGTTGCGCTTTCCCTCACCCACATTTCCTTAAATCGCTGAACCATTTTTGTTATGGTACTTTGGGTCGCATGCCTAAGTGCATGGATACGTTGCGCTTTCATTTGAATGATTCCTAATTATTAATGAAGTTTTTGCTGAAGTTATTGATGTCAAAGTACTATGAAGTTCTTGAGTATATAATCAATATGTGAGTAAAATAATAATTATTCTCTGCTAGACCTTTCAAAGATTTAAGTACTTTTGTGGGACAATCCATCGAGTGACTTCAACATTTTTCACTTCCTTACTTCGCCTACTGCTTGGAATAAGCCTCCCTTAGTTCTTTTCCATATTTTTTTTTTAATAATAACGCACACACTCAACGTCACCCCGCACTGGAAACCGTGTCGCGGGTGCCATGGGCACACACATAGACAACCAGAAATTACTCCCAAACTCACGAGAGGAATATGTGTAGGCCATACAAATATTTCTCCCGTCCCGGGAATCGAACCTGGGACTTCTGCGTGGCAGTCCGGCATGGTAACCGTTCGACCACAGAGGCAGTTATGTCGCGACTTTCAGTGCAGTGACTTTCCTGCTCATTCGTAAGATAGTTGAATATTGAGGTTTGTGTTTAGAGATATAATTATATTTTATTTTTCTGTTAATGCTGTATTTTGTATTAATAACTATACATCGCACCCCTAATGGAACATTCGAGACGTCAAAAATGTTTATTACTCCTTTGGATACAGAAAAATAGACACCCACACTACCACAATAACCCACATCCTCTCCGATTCTTATAATCTTAAATATTGACTGAGTAGTGACCAAAAAACTAAAACACTGCAACTATTTTCTTTTATAAATTTAGGTCAAAAATCCTGCTTGTCTAATGAAATACTGTTACTACTTATTAGAAATGTTTCATTCATAAAAGCCTAACTGTATAAAAGCCTACATAGCATGTTGGGACGTAAACGTGTTGCGTAGTGTTCAAAACGACGTTGTTGTTAACGAAATTGTAATTTGTAATAAGAATAAACGAAAAGTGGACT